AAATATTGAGGTCAAATTTCTGATTGATTCCTGCTTCATTCAGGACCTACACAGCCGGAGGATGATTGGCAGTGCTAAAAGAATGGAAGGCTTATACATTTTAAGAGATGATTCAGTTGCTAGAAATGATATTTCTCAGAATGTTTCCTTTTCAGTTTCTTCATTTGTAAACAATGTGAATGCTCATGTTTGGCACCTTAGACTTGGGCACTTGTCTTTTCAGAAGTTAAATCTAATAAAGGATCAGTTGCATTTGCTTTGTGATAAACACAGCGGTTCTCGATTTGCATTATGTGATGTCTGCCCCTTAGCCAAACAGAGAAGGTTATCATTTCCTTCTAACAATCACATGTCTCCTAATGCCTTCGATCTTATACATTGTGATACCTGGGGGCCTTATCAGGTTCCCACACATTCTGGCTACAAGTATTTTCTCACCCTTGTGGATGATTGTACACGTTTTACTTGGGTGTATCTAATGAAGAACAAATCTGATGCTAAGAACATCATTCCCAGGTTTTTCACCATGGTTGAAACTCAGTTTCAAACACTCATTAAATCCTTCAGATCTGATAATGCCCCTGAATTGCAATTTACAGACTATTTCAATTCCAAAGGGGTTGTTCACCAATTTTCATGTGTAGAACGACCTGAGCAAAACTCAGTTGTTGAGAGAAAGCATCAACATCTCCTCAATGTCGCTAGAGCTTTGTATTTTCAATCCCAGGTTCCCATTCAGTTTTGGGGAGAATGCGTCCTTACTGCCACTTTTCTCATAAATAGAACTCCTACCTCAGCTTTGCAAAACAAATGTCCTTACTCCTTATTGCATAATTCCCCAGTCGATTATACTCCTCTCAGAACCTTTGGATGCCTATGCTTTGCTTCCACACTCCTATCTCAGAGAACCAAGTTCCAGCCCAGAGCTAAGGCCTGTATCTTTGTTGGATATCCACCTGGAATTAAGGGTTATAAGTTGTATGATATTGTTTCTCACACCTTTTTAATTTCCAGGGATGTCATTTTTCATGAGCAAGTCTTCCCTTTCCACTCCATCTCTCATAGCCACAGCAGCATTGATCCATTTCCCGACCTTGTTTTGCCAAAATCTCTGCCTATCACATTTCCTTCTGATTCATCTCCCATTACAGAGCAACATGATGATGGTTCCCAAGAATGGCTTTCTGATCCTTCTCCTGATCCCGCTGACAATATTTCCCTAGAACCTACAGCTGTTAGGCGATCATCTAGAATGAGCCTACCCCCTTCATACCTAAGAGATTATCACTGTACTCTCTTAACAAAATCAACACCAGCTTCTGATCATTCTGCTCATCCCATCTCAAAGCACATCTCTTACAGTTCATTCTCTGCTGCACATAAACACTTCCTCTTATCTATCTCTTCACACTTTGAACCTCAATTTTACCATCAAGCTGTAAAATTTGATCATTGGAGGGATGCTATGAAGTCTGAATTGCAGGCCATGGAAACAAATCACACTTGGACTATCACAACTTTACCAACTGGTAAGCACTCAATTGGTTGTAAATGGGTTTACAAGATCAAATACAAATCAGATGGGAGTATAGATCGGTACAAGGCTCGGTTGGTTGCAAAGG